TATAAGGACAGTAACTTACTTGGACGAGGAAGTCCATGCCGCCCTCGTAAATCTTCGGGTCCTCGAGCTTCTTCAAGTGAGCCCGATCTTTGGCCGGCATGGCCTTGGCCAGGACGACGTGGCCAGGGACGAGATCATTAAACACGCCCCCGCCGACGGGGTATTCTACCACCTTCTGGTAGGTGGCACCGGCAATCTCCTTGCCGGCCCTCTGCGTCCGTGGTTCCTGGACGAGAGGAAGCGACGGGGCAGCATCGTCAGCAATAGTAAGGTCCACGACGGGACCACCATCGCCCACGCTGGGGACAGTAAGAGTACCGGCCTCAATAGCCGGAGAAGGGGAAGGAGCCCTCTTCGTCTTCTTCGAGACGCTCACGCCGGCCTCGGTCAACTTTTTCTGGCCGTCAGTGGCCGGCCTTTTCTTCTTGGATGGAGCAGGCTTTGGGGCCGCATCAGCAGTAGCCCCACTCCCACCGGCCGCGGCACGTCTGGCCGCCTCGGCCGCCTTAGCAGCAATCTCCTCGGCCGCTTTGGCCTTGGCAATAGCCATCATGGAACGCCGGTCCATGACAAAATCTACAAAGGAAAAACACAAACAGATTAGTAAGGCAAAGGACAAAACATAAAAGACAGAGAGCCGAAGAAAGAATTACCATCGGCCTCAGCAGGAATGCCCAAATTCGGGCCGTCGGCCTCCTCAAAGGTGGTGGACATCCTCGGCCAGAGTTGGAGGTCATCCTCCTTGTCACCATAGACATAGTACCTCACGAAGCCGAGGGCGGCCATCTTGTATTCAGTGATGTAATCCTTCACGCTCCTCGGCCCCCCTTCCAAGAAGGCCTCCACCTGAGCGTCCAAAATAGAGCTCTTTGGCGGGTCATGCAGGTTAAACCTCCCGGTGTGGCCGAGGGAGGGAAACTCGGTGCCACTCTCACCAATAGACACAAACACGAACTTGCTCTTCCACCCATGAATGGACGTAGGCAAATCCGTGAAACTCCTCTTCTTCGGCAGCTGCTGAAGAGTAGCATAGGCCGCACAGTTCTTGTGGCTTCCTCGGCCTATCTGGTACAAATTCATGAATAAGGCCGTTGTCGGCCTGTAGCCCAACTCCTCACACCGGAGCAAAAACCCCACCATCAGGGAGTAGCTGTTCGGCGTCAGCAGGGCCGGAGGAAGCCCTACCATGTCCAGGTACTCGGTAATGAAAGGGTGAAGGGGGAACCTCAACCCCTTAGCAAAACTCATCGGGTATACTCCAAAGTATCCCGGTGGCGGAAGAAGAACATGGTCCGTCGGCCTGGGTGCCCTAACCCGCCCGAACGGCCCCACATACATCTGGGCAACGAGATAGTCGGCCGCACTGCTTTCCGGCTTGATCAGGAAGATGTTGGTGAGATCCAACTGGGAAGTGCCCGGCCCACTCTTCGGCCTCCTCACTCTCTTCGGCTTAGCTGCTCCCTTCACGGCAGACACCGGCCTCGGGCACGGAATGATAGCAGAAGTGGACGCCCCGTCCACCACTCGGGACGCACCTACGTCCTCACCCTTTGAAGAGGAGGCGGACTCCTCGTCCTCGCCTTCCTCGTCCACCGGCCCTCCGGATTTGTATGGACTTAAACGCTCTATCTCCTCCTCAAACTCCTCGAGCACCTCGTAGTCAAGCGACCTCGTGGAGGGCTGGTCGTCGTAGGGGTAGTAGTCGTCGTTCAAGCTCTTCATAACTACTACTACGGGCCTAAGGAGATTTAACTTAAGATCTAAGGGTGTTCAAACACCTAACACTAGATCACTAGTCTAGGAAGCAAAATATGAAAAGTGAGGGAGATCGTGACGAACACTAACCTTAAACAACGACGAACACGAAGAACAAGCTTGGGAGTTTTATCTCTCTAGAAAAATGGGCAGCACTTCGACAATTCAGAATGCAAATGTGATTTCTCGTCGGAGGGGAAGGGGTATTTATAGACCCCTCCACCCAACGGTCACTACACGTGGCACTCTCCCAATGGCCACATCAATGGCCACCAACGGGAGACCACCACGTCACCGACGGGCCAAACTCTATCAACAGCCCATTGGCAAACCAGACTCCAACGGCCTACACACTTGCCGACTTTACAAGTACCAGCAAGCGCCCACAACGTCCCACTGGCTCGCCAAGATCACAACTGCCAAACAACGAGACGGCAACGGCCAGGAACGTAACAAACACCTATAACGCCCACAGAACAAAATGAACAAAGAAGCCCACAGCCATCGGCTCCTCGTACTAACCTTTGATGATAACTCTCTACAAGCGATCTGCGCACAGGGGTTCTCCCACAGGGTTACCTTGGCCAGAAAATCGCCATGAAAGTTGGATTCAGGGGGACTACGGAGATGCCGCTTCGGCCAGGGACTCAAGCAACTCCTTCACCCCTCGCACTCCTCGGCCTGAAGCAGTGGGGGACTGGGGGACTACACCGGCCTCAGCAAAGCACAAAGGAAACACTACAAAGAACATGAACATGACCACAAAGCATGGCCACATCATCCATACAGCACAACGGAGCTTCATCGGCCAAAATCCCATAACGTCATTAGCAACGGCCAACAAGCCACCAAAGGCAAGGACACTCATCGTCCTCTGCCATCACTTAATCACAAGGGGCTCTTCGGCCAGAAACATGAAAGTTAATCAACGACGGCCAAAAGGAGTGCGCAATCATCCTCGTCCTCGAAGCAAGGACAAGCTGCCGTGGCCTCGTCGGCCCAAACACAAACTTCAACCATCAGCGTCCAAGGAAAACATGCCTTCAACGGCCACCATTGAAAGAAGGACACTCATCGTCCCAAAACGAAGACATCAAGTAAACAACGGCCTCCCTGTCCACAACAAGGAACAGGTAACGGCCAAGGGCAACAAAGCACAGGAATCTACTCTCCTTCACTTCGCCTACGTCTCAGCTTAGAGAGTGGGGGACTCCTGATGGAGTATATGGGTCTGAGCCCCCGGACCCACATACTCGGAAGAACAGAAAGCTCAAGACAACAGAGTGGCGCCCTCGTCGGCCGGGACGCCCCCGTCGGCCGAAAAGGGGCCAACTCGGATTATGGTCCTGAGCCCAAGGAACCCGGGTGCCCGCGTCGGCCGTGCCCTCGTCGGCCGTGCCCTCGTCGGCCGCGCCCTCGTCGGCCAAGAAGGCCTCCCAGAATCAGATTTTATACTTACTCATTTGTACAGCCCATTAGTGGCTTTGTATCCGGCCCAGTAGCGGTCCAGTTGTAAATGGGCCTCCCAAGCCCAAGGCTTGGGAGCCCAACCCTAATTTTCTCTATAAATACTCCCCTTGGGAGTAGTTATAGGGGTTACAAAATCATTCTATTGAAGCACATTGTTGCACTTCTCTCTCTAGCTCTCACTTCTCTCTAGAATCTAGGAGATATACTCTATCAAATTTAATAACAACGTTCGAAAGAATGGCATTGAAAAAACCACACAGAGAGAAAACGTCAATCAATTTTTTCTTTGGATTACTTGACTTGACAATGAAAGCAGTAGATTCAATATCGGAGGACGTAGATTGGATTGAGATTGAGTATTAGAAATATGTTTAGAAAACATTGTTACAAATTCAAAAGGATTTTGTAAAGAACATTGACTTTTTTTCTTGAAGAAGAAGAGAATAGACCGTAGTACGCATCAAAATTTGATCTCTCAAAACATTACAAAAATCATTGAGACTAATGAGAATTTAAGAACAAGGTCTTTTTGTAAAAGTTCTTGATAGAGATCATTGATATTACAAGTCCATTTACCACATTTACAGACCGGAATAGTCCTATAATTGCACTATTCATCCCAGATGGTTTTGAAAAAAATTATAGAAAGCACTGATAGATTGAGAACCTTGAGACAAATTAGTCATAGATTTTTCAACATGAAAAACTTGAGGTCGATCCATAATGAAGTTTTACCTCATCTCAAACATCTTTCGTCAGAGTAAAGTACAAAAAAGAGTAGTACAGATTTCAGGTGCAATAGTGTTAACAAATAGAGTAAACAAGCCAAGACAAAAGGGGCACGTTTACCCGATACCAAGTAGATTAGAGAGAATCATTAGACAAAGGTTGTGGAATGATCCATCAAGAAATGTCATTTTGTTTTTTACCATGACAGCCATGACAACTGATTTCTACCAAGCATGGTAATTATAACTGGTGAATGTTTCGTTGATGATTCTAATGCCTGATCAGCTAGATGTAGGAAATATGACATTGAAGGATCTTCAGTGAGGCTAGGGTTTTGAACAGCTGAATTGCCATTTGGGCTAGCCATTTGAAAAACAAAGCGATTGAAAAGCAAAATAGAAAATGGAGATGAACCGGAGTATTTGATGAATCTCTAGCATAGAAACTGTATATTGAAGAAGAAAAGTTTATCTGAAGCTAAACTGATACCATGTAAACTTTCATAGAATCGTATATTGAAGAAGAAAAGTTTATCCGTTGTAGATAGAAAGAGAACAAATACTCGATTGAGGAAATGTCCAGAATGTGTATATTAGGTCCGATGTGTAAAACATGTATCGAGTCTAAAATACAAAAGTAATAAAAAGAGTAATGTTGCAGTTTAGTCCTTCAACTCTCTTTCTTTATTAGTTTCAACGCCTTGATAGTAACTACTCCTATAACCTGTTTACTTTTCCGTTAAGTATCATGAAGTAAATGTTTTTTAGGCCTAATTCCATGATTAGAAAGCAGAAAAGCCTCTTAAAGCACTAGTAACTAAACCGACCCCATGTATTATTCAATCGTTAAGTTAAGCCTTTTTTATTGACTAGCATGTCCCTACTTTTTTCAATATCAGATTTTTATTTACATCTATACCCCATCTAATCTCGAGCATTGAAAATAGGCAATGGCTGCAATTAAAACGGAGCAATCAGACTGTTGATCACCACAACAAACAAATCGTGATTTGCAAACAAATAGTCAAATAATTAATAGCAATGATTGGATCACAAAAAACACAGATAGAAGCGAGACAAAGAATAGAAGAAGAAAGTACAAAAAACACAGATAGAAGCAATTTTTACAAAACATTAATTAATAAAAACAAATTTAACTTCGATACTTTAGTTTTAGATACCCACTGAAAAGTGAAAAAAAAAACTGAAAACTATCAGTGAAAGATTTAGGAGGATGATTTCTATTAGCTCAATCAAAAGCCCCCAAATTGGTACGCTCTTCTTCTTCCCATCCCCTTCCACAAATCTCCATTCCGAATCCATTCTCAAAACCCAATACTCAACTCCCCCACTGTTTAATCTGAGTGCAAACCTTCCTCCTTCCCTTTCTCCTCGAATACATCGCCGCCTGACTGCCATGGCTGCTGAGCATTCCCAGTTGAGCGTCGCTGCTTCCCCTGTGCCTAATTCTTCAATGAAGCTCCTTTTTGTTGAAATGGGCGTTGGTTACGATCAACATGGGTACCTCTCTCCCTCTTGCTCTATATTTTTATGTATATCAGCACAATTTGAATGCAAAATGTATACAAATTAGTTGTGAAACAGGCAAGACATCACATCAGCTGCTATGCGGGCTTGTCGGGATGCAATTTCTTCTAATTCAATCCCAGCCTTCAGGAGAGGTAGGCGTGTACTCCGTATTAAGTAATAACCCAAAGATTTACCCTTTGGTGGCTTTTGTATCTGCGCTTAATAATAAATCAATGTTGGGAGGTTGGTAACATGTGTATTGCAGTATACATTTGTACTAACATGGGTCAGATAAAAATTTTGTGACTGCATTTTGCATTACTCTTGAGAAATTTCAAATCTTTTGATTTCGGGTCTGTTTGGATGGAGGCTTTTAGAGATAGCAACACTTTGGAGGGCTTAGTCTATTTCTTTTTAAACAGTATGTTTCATAAAATGAATGAAAAGTGATTGAAATAGCTGTATAATAACATACTGTGTTAATCTTTTAATATTTGTAAGTTCTCAAATATATATGTCATGAACTCAGAATGAGACTAAACCTCCATCAAACAGGCCCTTGAGCTTAATACTATATTTTGCATTTGTACAATTAACCATTTGCTTTGTTTGGGAAAGTGGGTAGCAAACGAAGAGACAAGCTGGTTTATTTCCTTCTTTCTCTATTTTAGTGGCAAAAGAAATGTAAAGATATGTTTGGTGTCTCCATTTTTAGCTTGCAAACATCCTATTTTGCATTTTTTTTTAAATTGTCTTAATGAAATGCAAAAAAAAAACAACCTCCATTGCCAATCTTAGCCCTCCATGACACTTTCGATAATTGACTTTGAAGTTTGATTATTTCCACCATTCGACTGTTGTGATAGACTCTATTAGTACCCGTCTTTGAAGTTTTCCTTATTTAGTCATTCGAGTTTGATAGAAGTGAAACTTCTAATTCTACTATGATTTTGGCACTATAAGTGAATGATAAAAATGCCTCATTGTTGGCTGTTGCTATGATAATAGTTGAAGGACCAAAAGTGTCTCTTTTGCAATAGTTGAGGACTAAATGAGGAAAAATTCATAGTCAAGGACCAAAAATTACTCTCACATTAGTCGGAGGACTATTAGTGGCAAAAATTCTGGCTAAATATTTCAAGGCTGGTACAGTGCAAATTGAAACTCTAGTTGTCAAAGTTTGTCTTTCTTGAAGAATGGGGACATAACTAGTTGTTGAAGCAGGTTCTGTACCCGGTGTTACATTTGATCAGATGAAGCTTGAGATTAAGTTGGGTGTTCCACGGTCTCTCCAACAATTGCTAGATACTGACAAGGTCAAATCAGTCTTTCCATAGTAAGTAAATATTGTAACCATACCTGGCTTAAGTGCTTTACAAATATAGTTTTCTCAAGTTTTTCTTTTGAACGATATGGGCATTTATGTTTCCTTTCATCTGTAGACCCTATACATAATAATCCTCACCAAAATTAATAGATATCGACAGAAAATAAAAGTAATACTGAAGTTGATATTACTTAATAATGCTTGGTGAATTTTTGCTTATTAGTAATTCTGAACGGCCTTCTATGGCCCCTCGTCTTGGGGAGACGTTAGAACGTGTAGTGGTGTGACCTAGAGTCGCGGGTTCATCTCTTGGGAACGGCCTCTTGTCAAAAATTGACAAAGAAAGGCTTGCCCCTGTATAATTGTTTTGGGACCCTTCTATGGGCCCTCTTGAGGAGATGCCATTGTGCACCATGCTGCACTTTTTTAGCTAATTTCAAAATGCAAAATGACATAAAAGATATGCTTAACATAATTTTAAAATAATAATAGACTAATTAAATGAGTTTGAACTTATCATTTAAGTTCGTGACCAAAACATCGTAGTCGAAAAGCCTTTTTATTGAAAAAACAACAGTAGCCAACTTATAAGCAATCTTCAGGCACGCCTGCATAGCCACAGTGTTTGTTGAGTATTAGCTATCAAGCTAGTTTGATTTACATAGACACCTAAAAAGGATAGGTTTTAATTTAAATCTTAATTAAAAACTGGGTTAAATGAAAAACTTTCATGTAAATAAGAGCTTATGAGTGTTCATACTTATCTAATATGTTGTTGAACCAACATAGCTTAGTTAGATAGCTTTCTTAATAAATAATAAGAGCTTATAACTATTTTATAAGCTTATTTGTGGAGCGCCGAACATAATTATGGTATTTTTCTGTGTGAAGGACATATATCTTCTTATCATTTAATTTTGAACTTCTAAAGTTATAATTGTGCGATGTTTGTTTTATGATGTCAAATAGCGGCAAAATAATGAACATTGAAGTTGTTGATGGTGGACTGATATGTTCAAGTGGTGTACACGTTGAAGAGATGGGAGATAAGAATGATGACTGTTATATAGTAAATGCAGCAGTTTATGTTGGTTACTGATCTCTCTTAGACTGTACATATAGGTTAGTTCTGCTATTCCTTCTTGTTCACTATTTGCCATCTTCATATGAAATGAAATTGAATACCTGTCATTTCTGTTTTTTTTTCTTTGGGACCAATCTATTAATCTAATATTGCATTTTAGTAATTTGGACTCAAACTCCTAATTGCATTTTTGTTCATATTGCATTTTAGTACTTCCTCCGTCTCTTTTTAGTTGCAACAATCAACATTTTACGTTTGTCAACGCACAACTTTGACCGTCATTATATTTAATTCTGTATTAGTAAAAATAAAATAAAATTCAGATTATAAAACTTAGTAATGAGAAGAATTTAACAACATTTTTCAAAAATAATAATTCACATACATTAATAAAGAAAATGTAGTCAAAGTAAAGTACATGAATAGTGTATATATTCCAATGTTGCAATTAATGAGATACGGAGGATAGTATATGTTAGGGACTTGCATAGAATAATAAGAAATAAGAAGAGTATTAGAATTAGTATAAATAGAGGTGGAGGGTAGAATAGAAGGGGAGGTTGGAATAATTTGTCGGGCCTGGGACTTGGAGAGTTTGGCACTCTTTAACTGCCTTTGTACTTTTCTCTCTCTATTTTCTGTGATACGAACCCTTTCAGTTGTACGCACATCTCTGTTCTTCATCTTGTTTCTTGAAATAGATCTTGAATTAGCTAGGTACCTAACATTGGTATCAGAGCGTCAGCTACTCAAGGAACGATGGAAAGTAGACTGGAGATCCTGGAACGCAATTTTGAACGCTATCGCGAGGAAAGGCGGAAAGAGATGGCGGAATGGCGCGAATTGATCCTGCAGCAGAACGCTCGACATGAACGAAGAAAATCAAGAACTTCAAGGCGTCACACTGTACATGAGAGTCCTACATCGTCTGAAGCCAGAGGTAAGTCGCGAACTTCGTCTCACAGTTCGCAGTCGCGAACCGTTTCTTTGAGTTCGCAGGATTGGTCGCAAACTTCTTCTCGCAGTCCGTCCGCATCGTCGCAAGCACAAGAGCCCAGTTCGCAGTTGCGAACAGTTCCTTCCAGTTCGCAGATGCGAACAGTTCCTCCCAGTTCGCAGGATTCTTCGCAGATTTTTTCCCAGAATCCTTCATCAGCTCTCATTTCCCGTCAAAATGCGACGCAATCGATAGGAGAATTTCCAAGTTCGATGGATTCCTCACTCGCCGATCTTTACCACTCATATTCATCACCCGTCGATTCTTACTGTTCACCATCTTCCTCACCAACAGCTACACTCAGTTTTTCGCAGGATTCCTCGCCAACATTTTTTCCCAGTTTGCAAGCTTCATCTGGAGTAGATGTTTCCAGTTCTCAGACTTCTTCGCGAGCTTATTTTTCATCGCCTAGGGCAGAGAAAGTCACCGAGGGTGATGAGGGAAGCGCGGAAAAATTGTCAGTGAACATTGGACCGGAAGTTGGCACAATTGCTCATTTTCTCAAATACAAGTCTGTCAAGTCAGATTCGGAAACCAATATTTTCAAGATTCTACACACATGTGACACTGATGTTTGTGTGGCAAAGTCCACAATGACTTCTAGTTTTGTAAAACAGATGAACTGGCCTAATGTTTTAAAGTCTGAAATGGTGAACTTTCATTCATTAAACATTACTTTGGAAGGACTGAAGTCATATAACAAGTTTGTTAGTATTAGATGTGAGGGTGTTACTTCTATGATGGATAATCAAAAAGGGTTAGAAGGAGGATTTGTTGGGAATATTTCAGAATATGAGGGATATATTACTGGTGTTGAAGTTGACCTGTATCAGATGTTTTTTAAGGGGTGTGTTGATATTGTTGAAAGTCAGGACCAACTTTTGATTCTTGGGGTTGAAGGGTGCAAATGGGTACTTTCTGCAAATTGGAACTTCTTTGATTCCGGATTAAGAGGGGATAATGAATTTGATCTTGGATACCTGATGTGTAGAATCAGTGTGGACTTGGACCCTGCTATTCAGACTGCTGTTAATGGACTAGAAGCTGAAGCAAATTTCCAACCTTACAAAATGGTCTTAGGTTCCAATAATCCAGAAGTGAATTGTTCCAGTAGTCTTCTTTTACTGGAAACTAAGCTAGCTGAAGATGTTAGAAAGATAGAAGTGGAACTATATTCACCGGGAAAAATAGTTATGACTTCTTTCTCCTCACCGGAGCTAAGAAAGTTGGATGCAGATCCAGTTAGGGAAGCAAAGAGAATTCAGGAATGTTTCTCTCAGGGGCAGTTTGGAACACTGTTCACGTGCTTATCAGAATTGTTTGAAGCAAACAAGAGGAACAGTTTTCTCCTTGAAAAATATGTTGAGGCTAAAGATACTGAGGCTAGAGATATTAAAGGTATAGAGCAGATCCACATGGCCCTTATATCAGTTTTCAGAAATGGTGGGAGGGGTATAATTGTGGTTGCTACTCATTCAGGAAGAATCTATATTATATTGGAGGTTGTTTCGGATAGCATACAAAACTGTTCTCATCGAAAAGCATCACCGGATGTTCCTGCAATTATAGATGGCCTGGCCCTTGAGATTGGCTCAGTAGGGGTTGTAGCACTTGGTGCTGGCCAGGTTTTAGTGAAACAACATGTAACCATGCCCTTGCCTCAGCTGCTTGCTATGGAAAAAGTGATAGCAATGGTTCAGTTTATGAAGTTCAGGGTCCTGAAATTTGGAACTTGGAAGATACTGGGAAGGAAGAGGCGCAAAGATGAGGAAGAAGCTGTTCGTCAGGACTGTCTCCTATGACCTACCTTGAGGACAAGGTGGTTGTCAAAGGGGGAGTAGTGTTAGGGACTTGCATAGAATAATAAGAAATAAGAAGAGTATTAGAATTAGTATAAATAGAGGTGGAGGGTAGAATAGAAGGGGAGGTTGGAATAATTTGTCGGGCCTGGGACTTGGAGAGTTTGGCACTCTTTAACTGCCTTTGTACTTTTCTCTCTCTATTTTCTGTTATACGAACCCTTTCAGTTGTACGCACATCTCTGTTCTTCATCTTGTTTCTTGAAATAGATCTTGAATTAGCTAGGTACCTAACAGTATACTGGAAAGTGGAAACATGGTAAAAGATGTAGCTAACAATTGTGTTAGACTAAAGCACTTACTTTTTTAAATATCTAATTGTGCTGAAGGATCTAAGAATTGGAAACTGATAGTAAATAAATAACGCATATACTACTAGTCCAAGGCTAGTCCGTTGTCTTCCAATAGAGAGATTTGTTTTTTTTAGCTCAGTCAGTTGGGATTTGTTAGACTTCCATTTTGACAAATAGACTTCCACTTTGACAAATTAAAGAGTCAAAATTTAGTTAGTAAGACTTGGTTGAAGTAACTAATATATTGGATTCAATCATTTGGTATGGTTCGACACCCGTGTCTTATGGCCCACCAAGTGATCTCAATTCAATCATAAGGCCTGCTTAATGTTTCAACGTGTAACTTTTTTTCAAGGTGTCAACTGTCAACCCAAGCTCCACCTTGGACGTTTAGTGTAAGGCCTGAATATAAAGTTGCCCATCTAACTCATTTAATACACAACCATTTTCATGCGGGTTTGGGCTTGGCCCAAACCGGCAATATCATACCTATTTGGTGTTAACGTGAGGCCTGTGGTCCAAATACACCTTTGGACTCATCATGTATGATTGACTTTCTCTCTGACTTTTTTGCTTGCCTAGTGTGGCATCTCATCTTTATCTATGATGGTTTGGTGAATCCTCTCCCTATTTAGTAATGAAACTTTGCTGTTTCTTGTTAAAGTGCTGCGTTATATTTGGTTCTTTTCCAGGCCTACATAAGTTGGTTTTGCTGATTATTTTGAAGATGTTGGTTGATTCAATATGAGAAAAAGCAAGAATCTCATGTGTGGGCATAATTAAGTATTGGAAAATGGAACAGCTTTTGATTATGTTCATATATGGCTTGTGCTACACTAATGATGAAACTACAGTCAAACAGTCTTGATTAAAAAAAGCAAATAACCAAAGCTGCTGTTGGAAATATTGAACTCTTTACTTTGCATTGATTGAATATATCAGTTTACTTTTTCTCTTCTCAAACTAACAAGCCAACATTTTGCATTAGGCTGGCAGATGGTATTTTTGAGTGACATTTTTATATGCCACTGTTTATAATTCTGGACAGTTCAACAATTACACATAAGAATGTCATTAGGAATGTTTAAAGAAAAAAATATGGTTCCCCTAGCATTTCTTGTAGTAGTTAGTTTACAACATGCCACGTGATTTTTACAGAATGATGAATGATCCACAAAAATGAAAAATAAAAACAAGAGCTAATAAATATGAGGAAGAGAAGGAGAATAATATGTATTAAAAAAATCTTCACTGGGATAGTAGAGAAGCATAAAGAAGGTGGTTCCAAGTATCAGGGAGTCCAGGAAGGCACCAATGGCTGCAATCCAGTCCTGGGTGTTTTCCGCTGAAATAGGAAGGGTGTGCATCTTTCCTTAACTGTGATAGAAGAGTAATATTGAGCAGATAAACCGGATTAAGGATTCCTCTCAACACATTGTTCACCACATTTGCGGGTTGGGGTGTTCCGGCTGGATACGTCGATCCTTGAACTGGCACTTCCTCGCCACTGCAGGTCTTGTTTGCTGTCGAACCCCACTCACTACCCCTGTTTTTTTACAGGAATTAATGATATGCATTATGAATTATAACTATGCTGGTATGTGTAGGTAATCAAAGCTCATGTCTATTTTTGTGTGTATTGCTGTTACATCATTGGCTCTTTTCCACGTCTTGATCCCTACCTAGGGGCAGAACCGGTGTGGTTCTGGGTCTGTCAGGGGCCGAACCCACGGCATGAAAACGGGTTTAGTCTGATTTCAATTCATGGTTGGTCCCGGTCCCTGTCCTGTACCAGATTCCTTGGGCTATTCAAGAAAGAATGGGACCTGGAATCAGAACCACAACGGGCTGATTTTGGAATAAGTGGAATCAAAACTGGCTTAAACTAGTTTCAGTCTGTAATCTCTAAACGGGTTGCCATTTTGGTTTTTTACCCGTCTGGCCCCACTAAATCCTACTCATCTATTCATATTGGGAGTTTATAAGTGCTTACATATAATGAGAAGGAGAAATTCCTTGGAAGAAGACTTTGGTCTTGGAAGGTTTGACATTTTCAACAACCCAGTTTCTCCAAGTTGTGATTGCTTTCTCGAATGCTTTCAAACGGTCCGTATCTCGCACCATATGTGTAGAATCTACTTGTATAAAATCCCATCTGTCAAACCCACCGAACAAAAAAACCATTTGTATAGTGAAACAATTATAATGAACCAATGAACTTTGTCCCGCTTACCATATTTTAATCCTGCATAATAATTGTGATCTATTAAATAATGATCACAATTATTTTCTTGATTAAGTTTATTAAAGTCCTAAACAATAATGTTTTGAGTTGAGTTTTTTAATTGACTTTTACTATTTAACATAGTCAAACAACTATTTTCAAACTTAGATAAACTGTCTTTTGATTTAGTTTTTTTATGCGAAAAACTAATATTGAAAAAGTTGATTTTAATAAGGAGTAGTTTCTTCATGGCATCTTTTCTATTACATAAAAAGTATCCCTTTTTAATGTTCAAATGGCTAATTTGTCTTATAATTTTACTTTGGATAATTATTTAATATTTTTTAAAACATAATACTGTGTAAATAAAACATAGCAATAACAATGTAATAGCACAAAAAATACCATTATTGGTGGTGTCGCTATTTTATAACCTTATTTTCTAAAGTAGTAAAAACAATAGTGATACAATATAACAATAATACGAAAAGTAAATGAATATGGGTGTATTAAAATAATAGTAAATGTATTTCTATTTCTTAAAACACTTATAAAAAGATTTATTACCCTAAATGGAACTAAATTATTACTCAAATTCCTAAATAGGATCATACATAATTTTTACCCTTTTTCCCCTCCCCATGCGCATCTTTTTCTACCCCCTGCGCACCTTTTTCTTCCCCTCCCCCCTGTGGCCCTGTGCACCTTTTTCTTCCCCTCCCCACACATCTCCTTCTCCTTTCATGTAGATCTCTTCTTCCCCTTCGCACAACAACAACCATACCTAGAAGCACACTAGCACAGTCATCACCATCGCTGATGCGAAGTTCGCTGCGGTCCGTCGCCGTCGTTGATGCGAAGTCCGCCGCGGTCCACCGCCGTTGCCGCCGAAGGTCTTCTTCTCTTTTTCGAAGGTCTGGTTCTTTTCTCTGATTGTTCTTCCCTCATCGTTCTCTCTTCCCCAACTATATTTGTTGCAGAAATGTCAAGTTCAACTCTGAAAATGCAATAAAAATGACATTCTTATTCTACAGAAAAATTTGTATTTTTCTCTTCCCCTTTTGTTTTTGTCACAGGTCCGATGCTTGGCCGATTTTTGCTAAAATTGCCAAAAAAAAATTTCCTGAAAATGCCATCAAAATGGCATTCTTACTCTTCAAAAATTTTTGTAATTCCCTTTAAAATGCCATTAAAATGGCATTCTCGACTCACTTTGACATTCTGAAAAAATGTTGACAACAGTGGTTGCAGTGGCCAGAGATGAAGCGTCGGAGGATGGATCTACACCAGCGGGGACCGGAGCTGCAGCACCGACGGCCGGATTTGAGAAGTCGACGACTGGAAGCAGCTAGATCTATGGCTCCGATGACCAGATCCGCATCTGCAACGACATACAATTTTAAGATCTCGGCGGCAGTTTGCGAGCAGCGGCGGCCGGCGAGAGGCGGCCGGCGATCGGCGTAGGCTGGCAAGCGGCGATGGCAGGCAAGCAACGGTCCGACATTGGGTCTGTGGTTACCAAGTTTCAAGGATATATTTGTCCAAATACAAATAATAACTTCTATCGAGGGAATTTTTAGACTTTAGTTCTATTTTAGTAATTAAAGATTGATTTACTCCCATTTGGGTAAATACCTCTTATAAAAAACGTATAAACATAATACGGAGTATATCATTAAACATTTTACTTTCAATTTGCTAATAATAATGGCAAGTTTGAACAACTAGCAGGATGTATTGTTATCAATCAACAAAGTGGCTATCAGCTTATTAGGCAACATCTCACTTTCTTCTTATGACTTAATTATTCTATTAATAAAAGGTGAAATTGACATTAATAATCTCTATTTTTACGTATTTTATAAAAATGAACCCTACTAGAAGCTAATTGTTTGACAAAAATAAATCGGGAGCTAATGATTTTAATTGCTCCATTAATATTTTTGAAATTTAAATATAATGAAGCAAACAATATAAACATTAACAATATTATATTTGACTTTAGTCTTATTCCCACTATAAATTTAACTTAATATTTAATATTTTCATACAATATAGTTGAAATGCTTGAACACATGCTCGTCAAGTTCTCTTTTATCTGTTATTTGTTACCAATATTTTATTTACATTCAATTTTATTTTTCATTATATAATAGAGATTTGAAAGTAGTTTTAAAAATATTACATTAAATATTAATGCAAAGTATATGATCATTATTTTCAAGTAGTCCATTTTTATAAATTGATATCTCTTATAATTTGAACCGATGAGATATACTAGAAGAAATGTATTTCTATAAAACCATATTTATGAGGTTTTGTATATTCAATTAAAAGTTGGCCTTTTCCATTAATATTACTAAATTAAATTCAAAAGATAAAATATGACTTGTTTAAAATTTTCCAAAAAGGTGACATATTTAGTTACTAGTTCTCAATGACTCAGCATCTATCAATGATTTGTCACTCCGAAATACACTATAGTAACTCTTATACAGTTACTCACACATAGTGACTAGTCATATTTTTGTCTAAAAATATAATTAATCATATTTTTTGTCCGATGAAACTCTATTAGTAATATACATGTCATTTTTTCTTAAAAGTTAGTACTAATACTTACATATATTTTTATATACTAATTCAGTATCTCATCCAATCAAATTATAAGATATTAATTTATAAGTTAAAAATAATTATCTTATAATTTGTATAATATTTAATGTAGTATTACTAAGACCAAAATGGAACTAAAATAATTACATACAAGTATATATTACTAAAATAAAGATGGACAAATACGCGTCCTCTTACACATAACGACTATATTAGTAACTTATACTCCCTAGTTACTATAATCATGTCCAGTTTTAGAGTATAGTGGCCATGATATTACATTTATATTAACTTTAACCACATTCTTTCATAAAAATAATTAAAATAGTTTTTTAGAAAAAACCCTCAATTGAATACAAATAAATATTGATAAAAAATAAAAGATAGTAAATTGAAAAAATAAACTAAACAGAATAATTAAAATAGATACCTCTAGGTTTATTTTTGCTAAATATATAGTTAGCTAGTTGAATTTTGTTGTGAACTTTTCCTGCAGTAGATTTTTTTTTTAAATTGCATAAAAGTAAGGGTTATTAAATTCAATATTATCTTCATAAAATATGCCCAGCCATACTTTAAAAACGCAAGTAGATTCAACTAATTTTGCAGGATCAAATGCATTCTTGATGAATATAGACGATAAAAACAATTGGGAATTGAAATAAGAAGGAAAAGGGATCTGACGGCTGAGACTTTCCGGTGTGAGTCCACCAGTGCCAAGTGTTGAAGATCAGCACATCCATTGTTTTCCAAAGTGCGGCACCGTCTTGATCAATGGACTCCAATTTCAAGACTCTGCCTTCCTTTTCACGCACTATATCCACCAAATTAGTTGAGTGGTAGAGATATAATGTCACTCCATAGTCCTGCAAGATGATATGTGCAAATCACGGTTGGGAACCCAAAATAAGTTGGTAAACCATGCATGTAATAAGTTGATAAACCATTATTCTCACAACATGAACGGGTCGCGTAGGGTCGGGTATTGAAAAAAAACACTTCGGGTTTCATCTTTATGTGGGAGATTAATGTAACCAATTTAAAACTCGATTAACTTGTTTTCAAAACACACAAACACAAAGTACTCGTATCTTTTATAAGCAAAAATATTAGATAACAGTATTAAAACATCCTTTTGTAAAGGAAGATCATTTAGAAGGAAACATAAATATACAATAATCACCTACCAGACCAGACCAGACTTGGATGTTTTTACTTGGACTGTAATTCATCCCAGACCAGACCAGACCAGAGCAAATCAGACTAGACCAGACCAGTTCAGACCAGACCAGACCAGACCAGACTTGGATAGTTATAAAAATACAAAGAAACCAGACCAGACCAGTTCAAACCAGACCAGACCAGACCAGACCAGATCAGACCAGACTAGACCAGCAAATTACAATCCAAGTAAAAACATCTCTAGTCAAAATGGTAAATGTTTAATTATAATTCTAGTATCATAAAGTCCTAGATAGAGCACATTGGTCTTAAATTGAAATTATTCAAGAAAATATTGTAGCATAATAATAGTAAAATGAACTCCGGCCGGGTCGGGTACAATCATATTTAACCCATGAATATTTTTAAAAATAAAATACCCGATTAAATAGGGTCGGGTAGGATTGGATCGGGCGTGTTATGCGGGTTCGGGTTATTCTTATGCAGCCCTACTAGACAGGCCGGTCTATCTAAAGTATTTGGCATAGACCGGATAGTTCAGTCCGTAACCGCAAATCAGACCGGGTCTATACCTACTTTTCGGCTACTACTACTTGAGCATCTAATAATCCCATTCCCTCCCTAGCTTTCCTTTCTTAAAGTCTAAGAATTTACCATTAATTAATTTAGTATTATCTTTTTTCAAAGACAGTTTATCACATTTATATTCGATGATAGATATACTGATAATGCACCCCTGTTTTCGAAATCGTGGTTCAAAGGTACGGTTGTGTTTTGACTCTAGGGCAGGGGGGGCAAGAATTTTTTTATATATAAATATATACTAATATATACTACGGAGTAGTATGTATTTATTAATTTTGGGGGCGGGCAAAAAAATTTTTTTAATGTAAAATTAATAAAAAAAAATTAAAATTGGGGAGGGGGGGGGGGGGGGGGGGGGGGGAATGGCCCCCTTGGGGTTAGAAAATCCTAGGAAGGAAAAATTACTAAAAGCTCAAAATTAAATTAATCGTATTTCTTATCAATGTACATAAAGAAACATATGAGAAAAATTGATGTGTATACATCTAAAAGATTAACATACTACGTACTATCGTATATTTTACGTAAAATGAAGAATATTTTGAAATATAAATTTGGACCGAAGCTTCTAATAACAAATCGGAAGTATTCGTATATTGGCACTTTTTTTTGTCGTCCTCCCACTTTTTCTTGGCTTTATCAAAGGAATCATTATGCCACTAATCATCATGCAATTCATACTAGCACTGAGATTACGGATTAGAATACTCTCCTAATTAAGCAGAAAAGAAAAGGAAAGAATGAGAGACAAAACATGCCATATGGAGGAACATATGTACATGCTATTTCTCTTTATAGGAGTAAGTAATTTCTAAGAGAGATTATTCCCAAAGACTCTTATATGTGTACTTTGGATGAGTTTTACTCCAAAGATAGAAGGAACAAAGTAGAGAAAATTTCTGAAATAAGAGTAAAAACGTTTGAAATTTTCAAAATATGATTGTTATATTTGTATTCCCTAAATAGAAGTGATTATAGTCAAGCTTGGAAAGTTGTCATGCTTGAAGCTAATATTGTCCTAACATGACATTAATTAATTACTCCTGTTTAGAGAATAAAAACACAACAATCCTATTTTAGAATACACAAATATTTTTACTCCTATTTAGGCAATCTCTTGACAAAGTATAAAATATACTCCCTATCTCTCATTGAACTTTATTAACTTTTTTTTATTGTCTCAAAAAACTTTGTCATTTCCCATTAAAGCAACTAATTTGTGGTTGTACTCAATTCTCTCTTCACAAACCTGAACTACGCAATTTTTACTTTTCTTATTTTTTATCTTCTTCGAAAATGACAAAGTCAACCGGGATGGAGGTAATAACTTTGGTATAAAGAGAACTTGGAAAATAAGAAAACGTACCACAAAGGTTACATTGGGAATGGCCGCGTCCCTGTGATAGGAGATATCGGTGGGTTGGGGTAGGGAGGAATGGAGCATGCAGGCCATGGACTGCCACATGTTAAGACTCAGTGAGTCGCCCACATACATTATCTGCTTCCCCTTCCATCTTCTCAACAAATCCACACCACCAAACCTGCATTTTTTCATTTATGCAACGGAATATTAATAACGAATTTTTTAGGGTTATTCTGTGCACTGAATTGTGCAATGATCAATACAACTAAAGTTAAAGTTATTCTCCTGAATTGTTGAAAAAGACAATTTTAACCATTTTTCATATAACTTTTTCTTTATTAATTAATAAGATATATTTTCAACATAATTTTTCAACAATTCACACAATTCGGTTGATTCAGCCAAAATTTCACCAAATTCGACATATTCCGTCTATTCAATCAATTTCAGTATCATCAAACGAGTTCTAAATCGTGACGATAAGAAGGATATCACTAATTAAGGAGAAGCGTAGTATGTATACCTGGGCAAGTTGCAAGAATCGGCGGCAGGTTTCCAAGCATGTGACAAGAACTTAGTATCATGGCGGCCATATCCAATGCAGTCGAATTGAGGGTCAATGAAGGGGCAGTGTGAAGATTTGTACAGAGGGTATGATGCGTTCTCCACCCATTGCCCTTCAAACAGGTTACATCCGCCACCGCCGCCGCCACCGTTGTTAACTGTAACTTTATGTGCTTCCACCGCCGCTCTCATATGAGCAGCAGCAGCTGCTTCCAATTGCGCCACCGCAATGGTTGTTATTATTGTAACAAACAGGTTACTCATAATGGCCTCTTTTTTAGGGGCACAATTTAAGCTAATTAAAATGACTATTTCATTGAAGATAATTGGCATGTAAGGAACTAAGGACTATGGAGTGGCTTAGTCATTACTTCTTATCTATCTCATATTCCCATCATCTTATATTCACATTCTCATCTTTTAGTCTAACCAAAATAATGTTGACTTTTTCTAATTGAATTCTACTAAGTTATAATTATTCAATTATATCTTTTTTCCGTTTTACTTTTATAGGATACCGGAGTACATAATATTGTCTTCTTTTAATGAGGTTAAAGTTGTTAATTCTTCTCATATTGCTTTTTTCCTGTGTGTAGGTTTTCTCTATTACATTTTCTTAAAAAAAAAATACTCCGTATAGTACATCATGGAGTTAGTTTATTACATTTATAAAAATAAGTATTTGTATTCTAAACATTTGGGTTAAAAAATGCTTAAGCTCGTATGAAAACTGAAAAATACCATTTTGGTTTTACCATTTTAATGTTTTTCTTTTGGACTACTTTCAGTCCCATATGAGAGACCATACCAGATCAAACCAGATCAGACTTCCGCAGTTATAAAATACACAGAGATCAGTCGTTTATCAGACCAGACCAATCCATACCAGACCAGACCAAACCAGCAAATTTCAGTCTAAAAGAAAACATACATTCATGTAAAAGTGTAAGAGCCCATTTGGTAGCACGAAAATTGCCTGATTTGGCTGATTCTGCTGAAATTTATGAAGTTCTGGCTGAAGTGGCTGCATTGGCTGATTCTGCTGATATAAGAAAAAATGATTTTAAAATATATTTTATTAATAAAATAAAGAAAAAATTATATGTAAAAATCGCTAAAATGATCATCTACAATAACTTCAGCCAATACATCCAGAAAAGTAACTTTAGCCTTACTTTTTCTGCTTATTACACAATTGAACGCGTGAAAACAAAATTTATATGTTTGGTGAAAAAGTTGGCTGATACGCCTAATAAATCGAAAAACAACGTTGTCAAGCGGCCTCTAAATCAGAGCCTTTTCCGATATAAACTCTGACCATGATGATTGGAACAGCTGGTTAGTCTTGATTTGTTGTGGAAAAAACTACTCCGTAATATTTAATTAAAAGATATGGACAAAAGAATATTTTGATTCGTTCCAATCATTTCAGTCAAAAATGTTATTGGAGTATAATGTTTGAGTTACGACTTGCTACGTATTTTAACTTAAAATATACTACCCCGGAGTACTATTATATGATCTCGTAAGTCGTAATCACGTTTGGACGATTTTCTAACGTTAAGCAAATACCACATGCAATTGATGAGTGCTCTTCTACATCGATTATTTTTCATTCTATCCGATTTGTAAATTTGTATGTACACACATAGGAAGTATATGTGTGTGTGTGTTAGAAATTCGAAAAATATTTTATATGTACGGTGTACTATATTTAATTTTTTTGAATTATTTTTTAAATTAATTGGAATAGGTACGGGCGGAGCCAAGACACTGGGCTACATTGAGCCGATACAAAAAATATTTTGGGAAAATTTTTTCTACGGAATTTTTTGCATAAAAAATATAGGCATTTTTTAAATTTGGGGTGGGCCAAGCCCTAGGTTGGCCACCCCTAGCTACGCCCCTGGGAATAGGTAATTTCTATAACATGTGCTGAAAAATATTTCATCAATTTCAAATGGAGGGACTAGGTTGATGTAGAATCCGTTTGGTGACTCTGTTTTTTGACTTATCAATATTATCAATCAACTTTTTCACTAAATACGTAACTTTTGACTTGGCGCGCTAAATTATGTAATAATACGGAAAATAAGTTATAGTTACTTTTCAGACCGTATTGGCAAAAGTTACTGTAGAAGATAATTTTTTTTTGTTTTTCCACACTCCATTTAATTTTTCGTTATTTTATTAATAAAATAGTAGTATATTTTAATATAATTTTTTCATAAATCATCATAATCGGTCAATCCAGCCAACCAGTAGAATTAGCCAATACAGCCGATCTGGATATTACCAAAACAAACTCGAAATATACTATAATACTAATACTTCGTATTAACTAGTATTCTATCTCGGGGAACTCTATCCTAAATAGTTTCAAGTAAATTATATATATATATATATATATATATATATATATATATATATATATATGTAAAAAGTACTATCTATTAATTATACTCCGTAATATATAATATATTGATTAATTTATATTATAAAAGCAAAATAAGTTTCCTATGGTCTTCCAACCAAAAGCAGTCCACATGAAGGAGTACGTACGCTTTAAGTGCATTTAAAAATGGTCATAAAAAATAAATTCTTCGGACGACTACTCAAGATTTATTATTAATAATAATTGATATAAAAGCATAGTCTCCGTCCTCCTCCGATTTAGTGTAGTTTTTCTTTATGATCATCTGTCTATGCGTATTTATTTTAAATCGAATTAGGTGATTTTTAAATACGGAATAAAAATTATTAAAATAAGTTTTAAAATTATAACATCATAATTAGAGCATGTAGTCTAGGGTTGCCGTCTTTGACTACCGAGCATTCGTCGTGAGGTGCCTTGAAAAACAAGATACTCCATCCGTCCCGAAATTATCTTAATTCTTTCCTTTTCGGCCCGTCTCAAATTTATCTTCTCTTTCCCTTTTTGATAAAGAATATGTGGTTCAAAACCATTCTTACACATTTCTCTTTCCTCTGCACAACTCCCCACCACACAAATTCCACTATCTTAATCCACGTGCTCAGTGCAAAACCGAAGTTAATTATGGGACGGAGGGAGTACAATTATCGACAAAAAGCAAGTGTGAGACTCAAGGAGCACCTCTCGCCGCACACTCCATGCATATTACCAACAGCTTCTTCATAACTTAACCTTGCGCTCAGACGCTCAGTTACAATGATAAAAAAGTAAAGCTAAGAGAGAGCGGATCACCTTGTAAGAGATCCTGATTTAGGACCAATGGCCCCAATTCAACCCATCAAAGAAATAGGGTAGAACCATCCTCATAGTTTGCATCATAACTTTCTATAATGTACAATCTTCAATTTAAAAAGTACTCCTAAAAAGTATTTCGTATATGAGGCCGTTTGGTAACACTGTTTTTCGGCTTATCAGGCTTATCAGTCAACTTTTTCACCAAACACGTAACTTTTGTTTTAGCGCGCTGAATTGTGTAATAATAAGAAAAAGTAAGGTTGAAGTTACTTTTCTGGCTGTATTGGCCGAAGTTACTGTAGATGATCATTTTATCTATTTTTACATATAATTTTTCATTATTTCATTAATAAAATATATTTTTAAAATAATTTTTTCTTAAAGTAGCAGAATCAGCAGATGCAGCCACTTGAGCCAGAGCTTCATAAATTTCAGCAGAATCAGCTGAATTAACCGATTTTCGTGTTACCAAATTGGCTCTATATATACGCATTAAGCATCAAATAAATCAGGGAAAATGGTTAAATAGGCACTCAAACTAACTTAAAAAGTGCAAATCACACCTTATATAGGAGGCTCTGTCCGGCCATCGCGATTTGGGGAGGTTCCCGGTGGAATTTTTTGATGAAATTTTTTGAGCAGCTTATTTACTAAGTCTAGTTTACTCATACCAAATTTCAGATAAAAATTCAACTGGTAAGACAATCAAATGATTTTCTGAAATGTACTGTGTTGTTTAACTGCGTTGTTATCTTCAAAAATTCATTTGAGTGCCTTCCCGATTGAATTTTTAGTTGCAATTTGGTATGAGTAAATTAGACTTAATGAAGAAGATGGTCAAAAAAATTCATCAAAACATTTCAGCGAGAACCACCTCAAATGACGAGGAACGGACAGAACCTCTCATATAAGAGGTGATGCTTTTTTTTAAATTTAGTTCGAGGGCTTGACCCTTTTCCCAATAAATTATTTTATGGATAAAATAACCCAATAATTTAAAAAGTATTACTAGTATCCGATAATAACCAGATAAGGCTGGAAAGCCCGAAATCCTTAGACTTGGTCTGTACCCTGTAGCTACTAGCGAGTGAGGATTTGGGAAAGACGAAACAAATCAAACCATGGCCGCCTTTGCAATAGGAACGTGGCTTTGTGCAGGCGTTGCACAAAGGTCAGGACCCTCTGCAGCTTCACTCTCGCTCATCTCCGGTTCAAGAACACCAGCTTCACACATCTTCTCTCTGAAAGCCACTGCCCTCAACGCCAATTCTTCTTCCGGAATCCTCCACTGCTCCTTTCTCTCCAATTCTTCTTCTCCTTCTACCCTATCAGCTTCCTCCTTCTCAGGTAACGAAGGCCTATACCCCAATTAAAGTAATTTTGTTCAATTCTCGATTTCTAGGTTCTTCTTTATTGATGTCAAGGAGTTATCTATTCCTTGATAAACTTCGGTATATGTTTATTATTTACATAATACTCCCTCCGTTCTTTATTATCTGTCCTGCGCTAGACTTGGACACAAATTTTAATAGAAAAATGGTAGGGTAAAAGTAGAGTGTGCAGATAAATGATAAAGTAGGAAAGAGAGTATATAAAGTGGTGATAAAGTGATGATAAAGTAGGAAAAGAGAAAGTAGTTTGTAAAAAGTAAGAGGGGTAAAAGTAATAAAAGTGGGGGTATTTTATTAAAAACTTTCCTAAAATAGAAAGAAAGACAAATAATAAAAAACGTCCGAAAAAGGAATGCGAGTACTAAATTTTATTGAACCTCGAGACTGTTTAATTAGCTTTCTATGAAATCTTTAACTACAATTTAGAGGGATATCAATTGTCTAGGGAAAATTGACTAAAGTACCCCAATATTGCGCTTTGGATTCAACCCTAGATCAATGATTACTTTGAGCAGTTTAGTTCGCTTCCTCCTGATTCTAAGGCTATGTTTGGATCCCAGAAAATACTAGGGAAAGAAATGGTGATGAGAGCTGTGATTTTGTGTTTGGGCCTTTGGGGTTACCTTGAAAAACAAAATATGATTAGTGATTTCGATGTTTACATATGTTTGAATTGTATATTATTTATATGATAGAAATAAATAACATAATTTGGAACATATACTACGTAGAAAGTAA